GTCGGTTCCTACCCATAGCGACCCTGCTGTATAGGGTTTCTGAGGAGCAGCTGGTGAGCTTGAATCGCCGACCTTGCAATTCAAATGGCTTTGCAGTCTGGCACATTAACCCACAGCGCCACACCAGGACTCTTAGTGCAATACTACATTATGTCAATTATATTCACCTTTTATAGAGCTCATGGAGTCCTCGAGTGGTGCAAATAATTAAACTACTTTGTTGCTAACTGAAATGTTGGAAGATATACTTCACCAGAGGTATCTGGGAAGAAAAGACTTGTGAATTTCTTCAAAGAAAAATCAGCTATTGTAAACTTTATTGATTATAATTCTGCTTTAACATATATGGGGTTACCAGGAATTTACTTTTCCTGGTGTATGAGTCACTATTACATTTGCAGAAATGTTTCTTATAATTCCAGTAATTACTTAATTTTTAATCATCTTTTAATTAAGATTTATTTTTTTCGTTTTTACTCTGTCTTGACCGCAAATTCAATGCCAAATAACCATTGCTTATATGAAAGTTGACTTTTGATAATGTTGTGTTGTTAAATGCTACCAAGTCGGTTCCATCTGATAGTGACCTGTATAGTGTATATGAGGAATGGCTGATGGGTTTGAACTGCTGACCTTGAAGTTAGCAATCTAATGCTATCCTACAGTGCCATACCAAGCCATTGTTGCTATTAATGGTATTTTAATACAATTATTTCTTAAAATGTCTTATTTGGTTGACACAAGTGTACATTAAAAACATTAAACCTGTTTCAATTTAAACTTTAAATTATTTTTCAAAATATGCAGTTATGCAGGTGTTAGAAAGCACAGTTGATGCTAATACATTCTTTCCAGGTTGTTACAGAAGGTTATGTTGTATACACTTGTTGATTTTGAACTTCACTTTATTGGTGAAAAATATTTTTATATCAATTTTAAAATAATTTTGGAGAACTATTTGCTCATCCTAAGTTATGAGGAAAGCCACTTTTAAAAATTATTATCATTTTGTTCTGCTGGTATAGTGGGTTACGCATCAGACTGCTAGCCTCAGGGTTAGTAGTTTGAGTCCACCAGCTGCTCCAAAGCAGAACAATGAGGCTATCTGCTCTTGTAAAGATTTACAGCCTCAGAAACCGTATACATGGTGTATGAGTCGGAATCAACTCGATCATCACCACCAGTGCTCTACATATGTCTCAGTGCAGCTATTTAGTTATGTTTATTATGCAAAATACTTAAGGAATATAGCACAAAAATAAATCTATGTGATATTAGCCATTATTCTTGTCAAGACAATTATTTTTAGGATTAAAATATTTACATAATAATTGTAGTAATAACAACTTTGAATATTTCATTTTCAGTATGAAGTAATATAATGCTGTTGTCATGTGCCGTCGAGTCGGTTAAAATTCATAGTAATCCTGTGTTGGGTTTCAGAGGCTGTAAATCCTAATTGGATCAGAAAGCCTAATCTTTCTTCCACAGAGGGGCTGGTGGATTTGAACACAGTGATATTGAATACATAACACATTGTGACACTAGTACCTTTTACATAACATAGTTGTTGTTGTTGTTGTTAAGTGCCATCGAGTCAGTTCTGACCCATTGCGACCCTGTACAGGGTTTCCGAGGCTGTAAATCTTTACAGGAGCAGAAAGCCTCATCTTTCTCCCACAGAGTGGCTGGTATTTTCGAACTACTGACCTTAAGGTTCGCAGCCCAATTCGTAACCATGCAACATAATATAGTAGAAAACAATAAAAAATATTGAGTGTTACTGATCAACCAGCTTTAATAATATGAATATTTTTGTCATATTTGCTTCAGATTTTTTTTCAAGAGTAAAGCAGATACATATGAGCACCTTCCTATTCCATTTCCTTCTCTTTCTTCCAGATATAAGCCATTGTCTCAGATTTGGCATTCATCATTCCCACTATTACTTGCCATTTTTTGTTAAACAATACTTTACTATCTCATATGCTTCTTGAGAAAATAACTGAATTTTGTTGTATCTTATTTAAGCAAACCAATCAGAATTAAAATATACTATATATATTAAAGTATTTCACACTAATAGCATCAGGTTAGGATAAAAATATTAACTTTGGAGATGATTATGAATTCAGTTTTCTGTTTTTTTCCCATAATTTATCTTTATAATGTATTATATATTATAGTAATCCCATAGAAATAAAAAATAATGTATACTGAATGAATGATTTTAAAACTTTATAATTTCATTTTTATGAGAACAAACCATCTTTAAAAATAAAAGTATTTACTTGTATATCTAGAATAATGTAGATGCATCTCCCAGCAACACAAATGTATATAATCAAAGAGTAATTTTTTTCTTCATTTATGCATACAATTTTAGACTGTGTACGGAAATTCAAGTGTTGTCAGATAAGCATAGAAGAAGGCAAAGGGAAACTCTGGTGGAACCTGAGAAAAACTTGCTATAAGATAGTGGAACACAACTGGTTTGAAACCTTCATTGTCTTCATGATTCTGCTCAGCAGCGGGGCACTGGTAAGATGGGTGACTTATTATTTACCTTTTACCTGAAGCTCTGCACCTTTTCCTTCAGTGAATCTCTTTTGCAAAACCATGGTCCTTGTAGGGATAAGAGACAGTATGTTTGATATGTCAGAAGCTCAGTGAAATAGCAACTTCTGCTTGTTTCAGCTAGGCATCAAATCAACTCAAACTCAGATCTTTATTTTTTCTTGTAATATTTAAAGATTATTTCTGACTTTTAGTTAGTCTTCAGAGGCAGTTTGTAATATGAATGTCTGTGCAGGCATGATCAGCTAAGTGTCATAATATAATCTTCATGCTTCTGGGAACTCATCTTTCTCGTTCACATTGATATGCTAATGCAAATCATAGACAATTGCAAATAGTAGGCACTGCCCAAGTTAGTGTCTACTAAGTTAATTATAAACTAGTAAAAAAGGAAAAGCATTACAAACTTAATTTACCTTTAATTTGATTCAATTGACTGGTCAATTAAGTTAAAACTGATTAATTACAAGGCAAGTGGTGTGACCAGTCACCCAATTTGATAATATAAATGTAGTTGTATTTTTGCTTATTTTCAATTAATCACTTAATAGTTTAGGAAATTGATTTTCATTAGGATAATTACGAAATAGTAGATGGAAGCTCTAAGTGCATTTCTAGTTTGATTAAGAATTCTGATTATAGTCCAAGAGGGTCAGTCCCACTGTTTAATGTCAAGTGGAAAGGGAACTTTGAAGTCTTCACCTGTGACTTGTATGTCGTTATATGTAGCTATTAGTCAAAGCTCACCAAAACAAACCACTACACTGGCTTGTGAAGGACATCCAGCTTCAGCTCCAGGCTCAGCTAAAACAGACTGTAGGCTTTTCTTGAACCCTGGTCACAAGCCCAGATAACTCCTTTTTCCAAAAGAGAAAACATTCCTTTGTCCTTTCCAGACCACCAGATAATGCTGATACTTTCTTATAAAAGGAGATTGCATCAGATGAGGTTCAGGGGCTTCTAAAATGAGTGCCAGTTTTCTTCCAAGAGTTCTGCATAATGGAGCTTCCAGACATGTGTACACACAGATAAACAGAGACTGCGAGGAGAGTTAGAGCAAGGAAAGTCAAAGGATTGGAGAGAGAGGGAGACTGAAATAAATACCCAGTCAAAACTCATTTTTGTGTAGATCACTATGAAGCAAAATGCAACTCTGGAAAACATGAAACCTTTCTGCCTTAGGCACCTGTTCAAAGGTTTGCACCATGTTTTATTTTGTTTTTGTTTATATAAAAGACATCAATTAGAGATGTCTTATGACAAAGAGAATTAATAGATATTTTTTCACTTACAGGCTTTTGAAGATATATATATTGAGCAGCGAAAAACCATTAAGACGATGTTAGAATATGCTGACAAGGTTTTCACTTATATATTCATTCTGGAAATGCTTCTCAAGTGGGTTGCATATGGTTTTCAAATGTATTTTACCAATGCCTGGTGCTGGCTGGATTTCCTGATTGTTGATGTGAGTATTCTGCAGTTCCTTCTTTCATTCCATTGGCAAGCAGTTATATAGACTAGGCGTAGCACAGTACTCAACCAGCCACTTCTCAGAAACCCTATATAGGGTCACTATAAGTAAGAAACGACTTGACAGCACTTAACAACAACGAGAAGCACAGTACTTGGCACATAAGAGTATTTTATTGTTGTTGTTGTTATTAAGGACCATCAAGTCGATTCCGACCCATAGTGACCCTGTATACGGTTTCCAAGGAGCTGCTGGTGAGCTTGAGCTCTCAGTAAATACTACATGAGCCCAATTATCAGTGATGTTTCTGATTTTCCCAAAGAAAAAATGCCCTAAAATATTTTTTTGAAATTTAATCTGTACATATCTGTGGATGACACAAACACCATTTTGTTATACCTATCAGTTTAATTTTTAATTAAAATAGAAAATTCTAAGTTATACAAAATAATGTATTATGTTTTGTTTTTTCTATAACACATCTCACCCAACTGTCATTGCATTAATTCAGATTTAGAGTGACCCTTTAGAGCAGAGTAGAACTACACCCTAGGAGTTCCAAGATTATAAATCTTTCCAAGAGCAGACAGCTTCACTTTTCTCCTGCAGAGTAGATGGTGGGTTTGAACCATTGACTTTGTGGTTAACAGTCCATCACTTAACTCCCTGCACCACCATACTGCTTTCACATCTCACCAAATAACTATATTTGAATCTTTACGGGTACATCTTTGACATTAATATCTTTGACGTCATTGAAGTCTGTTGAGAAGGGTCTATAATGTTGATGGGTTAGTCAATACAAGGACATTTGAAAGAGTAAAAGCATGAGACATGATGACACAAATACATTGGCTGTTTGTCAATTATTTGAATGTATTGACTATCAACTGATATTTAATATTGCTTAAATATTAAACTATATTGGTGTTGAAATGACTGAAATTTCTTTACCAAATAAGAATACTGACTCAGTAACTTTTAAGTTGAACAGTTGGCCTCCTAAATTAATTAATTTTATAATATTTATCCAGGGTCTTCTCACATATTGGAAAATTATAAAACCATATTTGAAAAATAATTTGGATTGTGTGTGCATAACTTATTTTGAACAAGTTGTTTTGTTTTAACAAATTTCTGTGAATTTCACTTATTGTTCTGAGAAAACATAATTTCAAGGAACAGTTATTACCAAACTTTTAGAAGCTTTATTGCATATTAATTTTCATTCATATCTATTCTGAAAGTCAGCTGAATTTAGCAGAAAATATCTTTTCGTATCTTACACAGTTTTAATGAGTTTCCTATATATTTTCAAAGAAATCAGACATCTCTGTGCCATTTGCAACAGATTTTCATTTCCTTTTTAGCTGATACTTTCTTCTTTTGTATTAATTGCATTGTGGTGGTTGTTAAGTGCTATTGATTTGGTTCTGACTCATAGCAACCCTGTATAGGATTTCTGAGTAGTGGCTGGTGGGTTTGAACCGCCAACCTTGTGATTAGCAGTCTAGTGCTTATCTGACAGCACTACACCAGCAACCATCAATTGCATTGTTGTTGTTGTTAAATATCAAGTCAGTACTAACTCATAGTGAACCTGAATAGGGTTTCCAAGGAGCAGCTGGTAGGTTGAACCGTTGATCTTGAGTTCAATCTGACCTTAAGGTCCAGTGCTTATCCTAGAGTGACTCACCAGGACTCCATCAATTATATTAGTCATCTGTATTTATTTTGGCAATTTCTCATTTATACATTAACAACTCAAATTTTCTCTTTTTTTTAGTTCACATTTTCATTTGATCTAATTAATGATTTTTTCTTTTGCCCTTCCCAGAGAGACTCACAAAAAGAGTCAGATCTCTTTGAATGTGTTTGTGTTCAGATTAACCAGTGGTTTTCATAGTTTTCTGTGTATAATGTTTTATTTCTTCTCCACATCTATTAACTAATATTAGAAATGATAAAATTACGGAGATATGTAGATGAAGATTTCATGTCTGTGATATTTTTGTTGCTTTACTGCTAATTAAAAATTTAAAAATTTCCTTTAAAGTAGTATATTTAAAAGAGAATACATGTAGCTCCCCCTTTTCCTAAGTTTATGACAGTGGCTCTCAGTGTGTGTTTCCCCAGACCAGTATCATTGGCCTAACCTGGAAACTTGTTAGCAAAACAAATTCTCAGACCTGCTGAATCCCCCTAGCCTGTTACTGTTTTTTGCACAAGCTCTCCAGGTGATCCTGATGCTCAATAACTTTTGAGAACTATTTTTCTATTGCATAAGACAAGGTTGAATTGTGTAGACAATTTTGACTCTAAATAATAAACTTGAGTTGCTTCTTCTGCACAGGTTTCATTGGTCAGTTTAACAGCAAATGCCTTGGGTTACTCAGAACTTGGTGCCATCAAATCCCTGAGGACACTAAGAGCTCTTCGCCCACTGAGAGCCTTATCCCGGTTTGAAGGAATGAGAGTAAGTCCAATATTTTAGAATTTGTTGGTGTTATAATCAAAACCAGGCTGGCACTTTGTTCCTTAGAAATGACAAGTCCATGAAGAATTTGAAAATGTCTTCTGCATTCATACTAATTTACCCAATCAATAATATTTATCAGATGTCTATAATAATTGGCACTGTTGGAAAGACTCATTGAATATAATGCCTGAGTGATCATTTCTAATTAACTAGATTTGCACTCTGTGGGAAATCTCTGTCATGCTGTGGAGGCTGTAGATCTGAATCAAGATGAGTTATGTTCATTCCATTTATAAATGTGCAGGAAATCCCACTCACTGTAATTTAAAACTACCAAACCATGCCTCATTTCTTCTTCCCTGCTCTATGTGATATGTGTTGATAGCCTCTATGTGTTGTTAGCCTTTTTCAAGTCTGAATCCAGTCTTTTATCTTGCCAACTCAGACTGAGATAGCTAAAAAGTAGGTCAAGTTTGGAATCATTTACAGAGGTGGCACAAAGAAACAAGGAAGAAGTTGTACTGACATTTGTCATCCCCTGGGACACAAAACCTAAGACCACGAAAGTGTCCTTACCACCACGAAAATTGTGGTGCCCTATCACAGTGGCTTTATATGTTCAAAAGAACCTTTTAGAAAATGATGTTTCTGTGATATTTAAAAATAGTTACATAGGAATTTCTCTGAATATTGCATACACAGCCCAGAAAAGAATGGTGTATCAGGTGTCTGTATGTATCTGTGTGTCAAATATTTACAAAGACAGGACTGGTTAGCTGGCAGCTTCTTTTCATTTTATCCATTTGAAATAACCTTTATTTGTAGTAATAGGCTATTAAATAAAACTTTCAAATCTTCAATGTTAGAATAATTTTCATCTTTGATATAAGAAATTTATTCACATATTTACATGTATGTAGCTATATATTTGTTGTTCTTGTTGTTAGGTACCACCGAGTCAGTACAGACTCATAGCGACCCTATGTACAACAGAACGAAACACTTCTCGGTCCTAGGCCAACCTCACAATTATTGCTATGCTTGAGGCCATTGATGCTGCCACTTTGGCAATCTATCTCTTTTGGGGGGTCTTCTTCTTTTTCTCTGACCCTCCACCTTACCAAACACGATATCCTTCTCCAGCAACTGGTCCCTCCTGACTGTCGGGGTTTTCCCTCGACATAGTTGTCACGAGTGTTTGGTTCACGAGGAGGGGAGATCCAGCGGCGATAGGGATAGCGAAAGAATACACAGACAAACAGAAGAAGGGAGACAATGAGGCACCC